TTATATAAAGAAATATATTGACTCAATCTGAGACACAGTACAGAAGGAGGACAGGCTTACCAATTTTAAGTCACCGTGGTACTTCAGAAGGTAAGGTGATAGATTTAAGTTGCTTTTGTAAAAGGAAGCTTGGATCTTTGTAGCAAGGACCTCTCACTATTCAATTTAAAGCTCTACAATATTCTTGTTGTTGACATGGAGCCAGGGCCCTCCGTTCCAGGCGTGAGCTTCCTGCCATGCCTTCTGGACATCCTTTTCGAAACAGACCTTCTGACCTGGAAGGCTGCTGAGACCTTTCGGGGTAGTCGAACAGCAGATAAAAATCTACAGGGAAGTAGGTGTGGGCAGGATGTGTGGTTTCCCTGCCTCTCCTCTGAAGTTCGGTTCAGTTCGTTTGGCAGAGACGGTGTCTTATACTAAAAAGGTTCATTCTGGAGTGTTCCAAGAGAAACACAAAGGAACAAGCTACCTATTGATCATCACTTCAAGTTGAAACTAGAACATTCTTTCTGAACGGTATAAAAAAGGCACAGCAAGGAGACGGTGCCTCTTATTATAACCTCTGCCAGCACAAGCTAGATCTGTGAGTAACACACAGCAGGACATGCACCTGTTTACCGGATAACCTAGAACTAAGCCGCAAGACACGGTAACAAGTGTCTCTCCCTGGCCCTGAGCGTGCACAGCAGACCCAACCTGGGAACTACTTTTCAGCTTTCAGTGGCACACTGCACAGACTCTTTCCCTGACGCTGCAGGCTAGTCACTAAGTAGGCACTGCAGACATCCGGGACATGCAGTTCGGGGAGGGAGGGCGGATAGGACACCCTTTGTATACTTTTCCCTGGACTGAGACCTTTGGCAGTAGGATTACCTGTGGGCTGAGAGGAGCTGCTGTACAGCACTGAGAGGTATCAATGGGACTGAATACAGCCACTTTACCAAAGGCCACTTAGGGACAAAATACCCAGGGAGAAGGATTCTAATATGAATCAGATGTACACACTGCTGCCACCAAAGAGTATTAGTTTCTCTCTAGCAAAATAGCTCACTTTATCTCTGACCTGGGTAAGCTACAGTAATCTGCTGCCTGATAGTCTAGGTCAAGAGGGCAGTGAAAACAGCTAATGCCCGACATTCAAAGACTAAACTCAAAGCAAGTACGTCTTTGGTTGGCTGCCCTGCCCAAAGGCCACTGAGGGTAGACAATAAGTTCAGACATGTCTGAGGTATCTTCCACCAAGTGATCTCAAGTCCCAAGTCAAACATATTCGTGACAGATGTGCCTCCTGTTTGGTTAACGGTGGGGGGGGAGTCTGCTAAAAGAATAAGAAAGCTTACATTAGCCTTAGCATTGTGATGGGGGATTCCCTTCTGCATACTATAAATATGTTTTATTACCATTGGTTAATAAAGAAATTGCTTTGGCCTATGGCAGGGCAGAATATAGCAAGGCAGTAAATCCAAGCAGAGGGAGAGAGAGAGAGAGAGAGAGAGAGAGAGAGAGAGAGAGAGAGAGAGAGAGA